CCCGGGTCGCTCGGGAGCCCGCGCTGCTGGGTCGGGGTCCCTGCACGCGTTTGCTCTGCTGCCCCGGCTCCGTACGCGTCGAACCTCTCTCCCTTTATTATTTGTTAGGTAAGAACATTTTTAAAAAAAAAAACCAAGAAGCTGTAAACGTTGATGCCTTCGGATAACAAGGAAGCGCCAGTGTCCCAGCAACTGCGGAGCGTTACGCCTTTCTGGTAAGCATCGGTTCACAACATGGTTTAAATAAGCAGCATATTTATATATTTTAAGTCCTCGCAAGTAAAATGCTGAATGATCTTCGTTTCAGCTGCAGATTGTTGCTGTTGGCCTGCCATAAGCACGCGTCTGTGGTGCTGGAAAGCCTCGAGTGCAACAAGAGCTTCGTGTGCAGATTGGAGAACAAAATATTTCAGTAGCTAAACTTAAAAGTGTGAATAGTCGCTCCCTGGCTCTGTGTTGAAGATACAGATGTGTTGGGAGTCTGTCTTACTAGAAGAGCTGGTAAGCCGAGGAAAAATGGACCAATTTGGGAATTTCTGCGTGTAAAGGTCCTCCTTGAGGTGAGCAGTTAAGATTTGTTTCCAGAGGCACCAGTGCGACTGTAAATCCCTTCCATTGCTGCGGAGTGCAAGCAGTGAAGAGGCTGAAACAATCCTCCGCCGAAGCGGCTGGGGTTGTGGTGAGGGTGCAAGTACAGGGATGGAGAGGAGGGAAGAGGGGACGGCCCGGAGCCCTGCTGAGTCCAGGGCGGCCGGCGTCCTTGGTCCGACCTCCCTCCTGTCTAATGCCCGTGATTCCCGATAGGCGGCTGTCTTCGTGCAGCGCCGTCACCCGGATGCGGCTGGATCCTCTGAGAGCCAGGAGTGCTAGAGATGTTTCCTCTCTGTGGAAGGAGAAAGTATTTAGCAAACTGCCGAAAGCAGGGGATGAAGCAGAGATTAAACATCTGGTGAAGAATCCTTTGCTCTGCTCGGCTCCTATTATTTTTTTGTTTTAAGTTGTATTTCTATTAAGTTGTATTCCGTTATAAATGTTAGCGTTTGCTGTGCTGAGAAAAACACTATAAAACGGCAGGACTGAGTCTTGTTCGGTGCCGTCTTTCTGCAGGAGGCAGTCGGGTGCGGGAATAGCAGCGCCTCAGCGTGAAATTTGAAATTATTGCACAGCTTCCGCATAACGAATAGAGAGCTAATTCAGCTGCTGGCCTTGCAGCGCTGTAAAGCTGGCGTGCGCGCGCTCGGCGCGGGTGGAGGGGGACGCAATCACCGCGCGTCTCGGTGGCAGCTAACGCAGGGCGCGCTCACCCCAAAAGGGACGTGACAGAGGCGGTGCAGGGGACGGCAGCAGAC